ATATATTTCTTTGAAAAGATTGGTAGGTAATTAGTAGTGTACCTGAAATTTTATGATAAGAAATAGGGGTGGTGCAAATCTTAATATTTAACATCTAACATTCTAATATCTGACAGTTAGAACTACCAACTAATTATTGAAGGCTTAATAATTCAGTTAATTTGTAGAATCCATAAATTAATTACCATCAATAATTATCCACTTATTACTTTGGTTACATATTAATATATCAGAACTTGAATTAAATATCTAAAATTATTTATACATACCATGACAGATAACTCACACCAACAATATTTTTAAATAAAATTTTGTAAATTTGTTATACCTACGTTTGATTACAAAATGTGCATGTTTAGTTGCCAAAGAATCACTGTAATTTGTTCATTAATTTGGACTAAACTGAGTTAGTTATAATGTGGGATGTATTTCAATTATTCGTATTGTTACATTTAAATTTAATTAATTAAAGATTGTTAAAGTATGCCAATACTAAACACATCAATTTACTTTTGATATCTTAATTAAAATAATTTAGAGACATTCAATAATATCAGCATATTTCATAAAACTAGATAACTTAACTTGCAGTATTGAGAAACAAAAGAAGAACTTGTCACATGCTAACCTATATCTGTCAAATTTACCACTAAAATCTAATAGATAACATAAAAACTCATTGTGCCCAAGACTGAGATGTAGTGCATAAAAGTCCTTCCCCGTTTTTAAATTTAATATTTGTTTCGTCCCTTCGAAGTGTTTTCTGTTTTAGTGTGTTTAAATTGTCCATAATTGTTTTAACATCAATATTTTATATACTCGACTTTGCAATAATCTACCATTTTGCCAATAGAACTTTATCAAAGAAATTTGATAATTACAAGTTGAAAGAATTGCACACCCACACAATTTGTACATCTAAGCTTATTCATTGTCATAAAACTGTCACCTTCATAAAACAAATACTCAATAAATAACACACATTTCATAAATATATCTCTCGAATAAGTATAAATAACATTTAAATAATACAATGGTATATAACATCACTTTCATTTAACAAACAATCACACACCTATCTCTACTTCATTGAATCAAATCTATCTCCTCAAGAACTTCCCGTTTACTCTCAAACAACTACAATAGTAGACTTAAGTTCTCCATTCAACAATACATGATAGTTTCAACCATGTTCTACCATCCATCAATTAATAGAGTACCGGCATGAAAGTAATGTTTATTTATTTGCTCATTTATTAATTTATTACAATCCAATAGACTATTTATAACAATTTGTGGGTCTTACCTTGTCTGTTTAAACTTTTTATACCTTTTTATTCATTTTTATTTATTTAAAAAAAACACAGACATGTAATATTGGCATAATTATTGTAATTTATAACATCTAATTTTTTTATCTTTATTAGACAACACCCTAATATGGGTTTTTATCATTTCAGCATTTATTTAACTTTGTATCGAGACCTGAAGATGCTTTGCATATTGTAGACAGCGAAACCGGTCGTCTAAATAGTTAAATTAAATTGATTGTGAGTAAATCTTATTTATTATTTCTTTACCTATTTTCAATTTTTATTCTTTTGAAGATAAGAAAGAAAGTTTTTAAGCAATCCCCGACTCTCTTCAAGCATCGTCCAATTTCTTGCTCTGCCACTTTCTTATCACTACATTTTTGACACAAAAAACACTCGACTTAACAAAATAACAGGAAACCACACTATAAGCACCAAACACCAAAAATAAGTAAAAAAAAATCTGAATGAAACTGTCCTGCAATGAATTATCACATCACAACTGTACTCGAGGTGGAAAATTCCCAACTAAATAAATTAGGTTAGGTTAACATAACCTAACATAATAAATATGATTTAACTCTTCTTTCTCATGGTATATACTTAAGACGTAATAAGTACGTACTCTTCTGTACGTACTGGTATGTACCCCAATGTACGTACTTAAAACGTACATTCTACATCATGTAGCAGTACCAAAATTGTACGTACTTAAAACGTACTGTGCTGTTTGGGAAGATTATGTATGCCGATTTAGAAAAAGCGATCCATGCAGCTGTAAGTAAAGTGTTTCCATGTGCGAAAATAAAAGGATGTAGGTTTCATCTCGGACAATCATGGTGGAGAAATATTCAAAAAGTTGGTCTGGCTACTGAGTATTCAAACGACAATGAAGTCGGACAATACCTTAGATATATGTTTGGTCTACCTTGCCTAGATCCATTAGAAGTAGGTGAGTGTTTTGGTTTAGACTTTAGTGAAGTATTACCAGGACAACACCAAGCCGTACAACAATTTGCTGACCACTTGGTGGACAACTATATTTCTGAAGAGGCAGACTTCCCTCCTGAGATGTAGGCAGAAAACAGTTCATCACTTGAGCGTACAACCAAGTACCAGGAAAGTTTCCATTCCAAATTCAATTCGATATTTTAAAATTCGCACCCTAATATATTTTAATTTTTAGAAGTTTTAAAAGATGTTCAAATTGACACTTATATAAAAATACGAAGTTGTGTGAAACCAAAAATGTGTACCGAAAAGTACTTCTAGAGCGTCAAAAATTTGTTGATCACAAAAGATGGAAAACATATTAAGTTGTGAGATAAATAGAAATGAAACTAGTGGAGATAGGAAATTTAGCGATAGAACCTATAAATTTACATTTCATTTATTGTTTTCCACCTTTAAACGTAAGAGTTTGGAAACTATCGCTGTGACAGTGACAGTTTTAGTTAACATCCTCCTCTAATACGTCTAATATTGGGAAACAGTGAATAGAATGTAAATATATAGGTTTCTATCGCTAAATTTCTCATCTCTACTAGTTTCATCTCTTTTATCTTACAACTTCATATTTATGTTTTCCATCGTTTGCGTTATTTTGCCGGTTATTAGCGCGCTTATCAACGTATTTATATAAATATGTAACTACCAATATTTGATATAATTTCTAATATAAAATACAAAAGCAGCAGTACCTATTTTCCTGGTGTTAATTTTCCTAGAACTTAATATGTAAATACTTAATCCGCTTGACCACGGAGCGAACTAGGTTGTGGTTTTCGGAGCAAACTAGTATGTAATTAAGAGGGTTTTTTGACCTTGGCACAGAGGAAAACTGTGGCAGACTTGGTCTAAGGAAGCCATACAAGAAGTTTCAAGATTGTATAAATCTTTAAAAAATTTGCCGGCGGGCACTCTAACCATACAGTCCTCATTGACTACAAAACGAATATCTTTAGTCTTTTATGGGAAAAATTACTTGAACCTAAGAAAGAATAAACCATAAATATATTTACATATTTTTCAATTTCGTAAATAAACTCAATAACTTATTGATTAATTTTAAAATAACCTGATAAAAACAACAACAAAATACCTTAAAATACACAAAAAATAATTAAAGTTTTAATCAAACATAATATAACCTAAAAATATGAACTTTGACAGTAAATATCTTAATATTTTGCTATTCTTACCTCACAAATTCACAAACTACAAATAAAACCATTCAAGCAGAATAAATGTTCAGAACCAAAAGTCCTTATTTATTATTTTAAATCTTAAAAAAAAATCAACATTTCCAATTTCTTATGGGAAACATACATGTAAAACGGACTTGTTTGGAAAGATTTTTAAAATCCTCACCTGACTTGTGATGTCAGAGCTCAGGTAGTCCATTAACCCATTCGCTGCGTGTACCTGCACGTCCACTAACACCTACTGCGTTTTGATTACTGGCTAACTAAGTAAATTCGAACGGAGCTCTGACGCCAAATGGCGGCGTGCGCACTAGGCATCAGATCATAGCGCCGCCAAATGACGTCATACGCAGTGAATGGGTTAATATAAAACAGTTGACGCTACCATACGCTACGTAGACGAACAAGTACACACCAGAGAGAAAACAAAACACCAGAGACAACATTTCAAAAAAACAACAACAATGCACACTGATGATAGTTCGTAGCTCATAACACTAGTAGACAATAACAACGTACAGCGTGGACCCAGTTAATTTTAAGGAGATAATTATTATATTAATTTGCACTATTTCTGTTTTTGTGTTTCAGGCTTCGTACAAAAAAACACTCAAAAAACGGCTTCAGCCATCAAAAAAAATCAAAAAACTATAAACAAAAACCGGCGCAAGCCACAAAAAAATATTAACAAAAACCCGGGCACTTAAGGCCCAACCCCTTGAGCACCAAGTCGCCGAACTGAGCCTAGATCAGAGCGGAGACTTGAGGTCCAAGTAAGTAATTTTTGTTCACCGCTAAGCCACATTAAGATAACAGGAATATAGCGAGAATGCGCTGTCCTGATTTTTGAATTCGGTTAGGAAACCATGTTGGGGTTCTATTACCCAGGACCTCCACATGAAGAGCATTTGGCTGATAGTTGTGCTCCTACCGCGCATCAAAGTACTATAGGGAGGAAAGGGATGATCTGGAGCATTGGAGAGCGGTGGATTCTGTTTGTTACTCTAATTAATACACCTCGCTCCAATGAATTCTTACACCCGAACATAATTCTTAAGGGTGAACATTTCTCACAGGCCTAATTAAATTGCTTGCTTGCTTGATGGACAAGTATTAGCTTAAAAATTATTTTAAATTTAAATCGGAATTCTACAGATATTTATTGAAAGAATCAAACAGCTAACCATGTAAGTAAAGAATACGTTATCGCAATTATCAACAAATAGCCTATTAATTTATGTAAATAAATTGACTATAACGAATTACAACCATAAAAGGGTTTTTGCAACACAATTTAAAAAAATGGTGGGGTTATTTACGATAAAACCTCAATATTTACTCATTTGTGATCTTTTTTTCACATATTGGCAACACTTGAGATCCTGAGAGAAAAATGATCTGGGCATGAATCAGTTAAACTGGAAACAGGGTATTAATGACTGATATGGCCATTTAAATCACTAAAATATGTTAGAATTATGTTTTATTAAAGTTTTACAGCACACATTATGTATAACAACAAAAGCAGATAAAATAATATATCTTCAATCAACTTCAACAAAAGTGTATAAAGCTGTAAATTTTTATGCCTGGCATAAAAGGTTAACCATCACATCGGTAAGCTTAAGAATGGTTTTCCAAACGCATATCCTCACTTAAACTCCGTTTAATGGGTCGTTTATACACGTGCTTCCATATTTCATAAAAACATACAGTCGCTTGAAATCGGTACGAAACAACAAGTGGCATAGACACGTGCGTGATTATGTTCCAGGCCAGAATTCCGTAAAAATCCATTTGTTTGGGATGGAATATTGACCTGTTGTTTTTTATTCTGTTAATTACCTGAAAATAGCAGTTTATATTAGTAATATTAGGTTTGAAAAGCGAATTTAATATAACACTCGGTAGTAAATTTTGACCATAAACTTACGATAAAAAGTTTATGATTTATTTTTCGTTTTCGGTATCAAAGGATCTATTTACTGTGAAAAAAATATATAAATTAATTTGTTTCTGACGTTGCTATCATCAATTTGTAGAAAAAGTTTTTAAGTCTAAGGCGTCGGTTACATTGGATAAGAATTCGTACGAAAATGTATTCGTACGAATTCGTAGGAATCAGTTCTTACGAATTTAACAGGCGTATGTAGTTACACTAGACGAGTTCATTTTATTACTAAGTACAGTGTGAAGTATGGAGTATGGCTCAGAATTGTATGTTTTTGAAACATCATCATTAGTGAAATATTTGTTATTAAACAAAAAATAAAAGCAAATGGGTAGATAACTATTTTTTATACAGAAATAAAAAAGGAGAGTATCGAAGGTCATCCAAAGAATTGAGAAGAAACGATGAAAAATTTTTCGAATACACGAGAACGACACAATCCACGTTTGACTATAAATTAGTGAATATTGAGAGTCACATTTCCAAGTACTCGAATTTTCGAGAGTGCATATTCCCAAAGCATAAACTGATATTGACATTAAGATAAGTAAATAATAATTGTTTTAGAAACGTATATTTTTATTCATAAATTATGCAAAATAATTTGGTAGAAAGTTGATTACATATCCTGCTGCAGTACCATCAGTACAATTATTTAAAAAATTTGAAGCTGTATGTAAGTTATACTCCTTTGGTTCCTGTGCAGGCGTCAGTGGATGTGAATACTCTGTTGACGTGTCACTATGTACGGGTGATGGAGTTGGAATCGAAATAAATTGACGAGAAGTTGATTGGTGATGACTTGCAGGTAAAGAAACGGCTTCATGTTCCTGCATAACCAACTGTAAGATTTTAGATCTAAGGGACAGCTTTCCATAAAGTGGTAGGGTTTGAATATATGGGATAAGACTTAGTAGAAAGTAAGTGTCATCATCCTGCTTATACCCGAAATGCTGCTTAAAATGTTGCAATTTTTCTTTTTCAATATTCATAAGTTCTTGAATAGCGCCATCTTTAACAATTTTTGCTTTTTTTTGTGGAGGATTAACTGCGTTTGATTTTTCCTGATGTATTGCTGAACTCTTCTTATCATTGAAGTAGAATGAATTATTGGCAGTTTCTCTTTGTCGATTCCCTTTAGTCGTATCATTGGAGGAGGATGGAGTAATTAAAGTTTCGCTTTGTTGGCTTATTTCACTTTGATTTTCTAGTTGGGAATGATCGTTAACCATCACTGGACTTAATGTTACCTCATCTTTCGTCTCATCATACGTGAAAGCTTCTTGTATAGCATTTTCAATGTTACCACTAGTTTTTCTGGATGTAAACTGATCTTTTAAAAATGCCACATTTTGGAAATAGTGCCACTTTGACTGTGGTTCATCATCAGCACCATCTCCACTCCTTTTTGGTTAAGTTTAGAAATTTCCTTTCTGAAGGTGTCGCGCAATCCACGCCATTTTTTGACGCACATTATCATCCGAAAAAAAAAAATATGAGTTTTTATTTTTTACCAACTGCGTGATTTTGTTTTAGGTATCTTGCAACTGGCGCTTCTTTCAGATCATTGGCCTTTTCATTCTGAATGTCACATACAACTATTCGAAAAGTGGTTTATGAAACCTGTGAGGTAATATGGAATAGTTTTCACGAAAAGCATATGTCTTTTCCAACCGAATTAATGTTTTCGTCGATTGCTGAACAGCTTTATAGAAAATGGAAATTTCCTAATTGTGTAGGAGTCATTGACGGAAAGCATATTAGAATTAAATATCCTGCTAAATCCGGATAATTTTTTTTAAATTATAAAAAATATTTTTCGATTGTGCTTCAAAGTTTGGTAGATGCGCAATACAAGTTTATATGTGTTGAATTTGGAAGTTATGGAAAGCAGAGTGATGGTGGTATTTTCACTACGTCATCGCTTTACTTCCATCTTGAACAAAATACATTTTATGTACATGTACCTAAGACATTGCCGAATACAAATATTATTGTTCCACACGTTTTCGTTGGAGATGAAGCCTATCCATTAAAGCACTACCTAATGAGACCTTTTTCTGGACAAAATTTGTCGCAAGAACAAGAAAACTTTAATTACTGCATTTCTAGAGCAAGGCGCCTTGTCGAATGAGCCTTTGGTATAATAACTTGCTCCTGACAAAGTCGATTTAATAGTAAAATGTATTTGCTTAATGCACAATATAATTATTGATTTAGAGGGAGGCCCAGAGATCATTAAAAATATTGTGAACCTCCAAACAACAAGCCACAGAAACGTTGGAACACGAAGTTTTAACAGGGCTACTACTACTGCTTACGACATTAGAAATAAATTTATGCAATATTTCAATACTCGTTAAAAACAGTTTTGGAAAATACGACGGTTATTTTGTGTTAAAACATAAAAAGCAAAATAATATTACCTATATCATAAAATTATTCTTAAATAATTATTAAAATGAATGTACTTACCTCCTAGTTTCATTTGACTTGCTATTTCTTTCCATAATTGTTTAACTCTCTGTTGTGATACTGTTTGCTTTATTGATCCCATAGGGATCTTTTTTCGTGCATTAAAGTTATTAGTATTTCGCAATCCATCTCAAAACACAAGAAAACGCGATTTTGTCGTACGAACAACTATTAACAAAAAAAATATTTTGGTCGTATTGAAAACAGGTACGAACTCGTACGAATTCTTAACAACTGGTCATAAGCAATATAACCACAAGCATTTCAGTATACTGATTTGTTTATTTCTGACGATTCCTTACGATTTCGTACGAATGCGTACGAATACATTTTCGTACGAATTCTTATCCAATGTAACCGCCGCGCCGCCTAACGGATCTAAGTAGGAATTGTTAACCATGTACTGATAAGATAACAATTTCGAAAGTTAATTAAGTACCAAAAGTAAATTATTAGTAAAGTACGCCTAATATCTCGAATTGTAAGGTTTTTAGTCAATTAAATTCAACATCTTTTCATCCTATACCCAAAAATTATAATATATCTTTTTTTTCTGGCTTTTATATAAGCCAGATCAACAACAGATGTAGTTTTCATTATACCTACTTGAGGGATACAGAGCTTGAGAAAATATATGATAAAGTTCCCTGAGAGATTTTGTGGTGTGTGCCCTCAATAAGAAAGGCCTTCTCGGTGGCTATGTGAAGAATGTGAAAGACAAGTAGACGGTAGTAACAATCATACTCCAGCAAAGAAATATCGAAATGAGTCATACGCATGATCTCTGAAGTTATCGAGTAATTTAGCTGTCCCTATGAGTTTTATCAAGAAGCGTGTCAGGAGCTGAGAATTTATTTTTTATTTAGCGTATGTGACATATTAAGAGCACATAATCACAAGCGATATTTTTATAAAAAACGTTAAATGGATTAATTCCATCCAGTAAGGAAAATTCCATCTTCTTAGTTTTTCTTGCTCTTCTGTTAATATATTACCCTTATCTCTTCACTTCTTTTGTTTGGATTCTTTTTTGCTTTTCTTTAGTTTCAAGTAAAATTTTCCGTCTCTATTGGCTTACTGGCCATCTTGTAAACAATATTAGATATGCATACTATACAGTGTTGCTGGAAGATAGTGCGCTGGGGCTCCAAAGGATGATGGATAACGTTGTAGAAACAAGTATGCCCTAAAACTTAATTGCAAGAAGACAAAAATAATGATCATTAGTAAGAACACCAACATAAATGCCCAAATTGCAATAGGCGATACACCGTTAGAAAGAGTGGAAAAAATATGCTATTTGAGCTACAATATAAAGGATACTTGAAATCACAGCTATGAAATAAAAACTCGTATTGAAAAAGCCAGAAGCTCTTTAAACAGCATTAGAAAGATTATCTGCAACCTATTTTTAAGTATCAGTATACACATAAGAATTCTTAGATGTTACGTCTTTAGTGTCGTCCTCTATGGAATAGAAAGCTAGAGCCTTACAGACGATGCCATAAAACGATTAAAGAATTTGAAATGTGGTGCTACAGACGTATGTTGAGGGTCTCATTTATACCCCACACAAGTAATATAACTATTCTTTAGAGGCTAAGAAAAGACAAAGAAATTACAGTTAATTCTACAAGGCAAGATTGAGGGTAAGAGAGATCCTGGACGTAGGCCTATATCTTAGCTGGCTAATCTTAGGAACTAGACTGGTCTAATGTCAACTGATTTATTTCGAGCTGCTCTGAATAGAATAAGATGGGTCAATGTGGTCGCCAACATCTCTAGAAGATAGGCACATTTAGAAGAAAATTGGCTTACTTAGATATTACAGTTCCATGTTAATATTTTCTCTCTTCTCTCTGTGATGCTTTTCTTTTCTTCCTTACCTAGTTATTTATATTCCTTTTCTGCTTGTCCGGTTTTGTGCTCTTGTTCCGTTAGTAAATATGCTCTGTTTTTCTTTCTGTTTTAATCTGACATTAATTATCAATACATTCATTCGTTGTTGTTCTTTTTAGTTTACCTTCCATGTCTAGTAATTATTCACCTGCATCTTTCACGCTGCTTTTGCACCCTTTACACTTTTTATTTATGTTTTCATGTTTTAGACTATTTTCTAGTTTGCTGTTTATATTTTGATTATATTTTATTTGTATTTTTAAGTCCTTATACATTGTATCTTTGGAGGATGCAAAGATGGGAATCAAGATGAATGGAGTATTGATCAACAACATACGATATGCTGATGATGGTGTCTTAATTTGTGACAACATAGTCGATCTTCAACAACTTGTCACTAAAATCGGAGAATACAGTAAGCGAATGGGATTAGAGATTAATACCAAAAAGACCAAATTTATGATCATCTCCAGAAACTTAGATGCACTTGAAAACTCCACCATAACACTGAACACTAAGTCCATTGAAAGAGTGAGTAAATTTAAATACCTGAGATCGTGGCTTTTTGAAGACTGGGCATCGGACAGGGAAGTAAAATGTCGCATTGAGCAAGCTCGACAAGCTTTCGTAAAATTCAAGAAAGTACTGACTTGTTCAGAGTTTGATCTTCAACTGAGACTAAGGTTTACTAAGTGCTACGTATGGTCAGTGCTGCTATATGGCGTAGAGGGCTGGACACTCAAAACGAGGGATATAAACAGATTAGAAGCTTTTGAAATGTAGCTTTATCGACGTATCCTAAAAATACCATGGACAGCGAAAATCACAAATATAGATGTCCTTAAAAGAATAAACCAAGAATGCCAACTTTTAGAAACCTTCAAGAAAAGGAAAACGGCGTATCTAGGTCACATCATGCGAAATGAAAAATACCAGTTCCTCCAACTTATAATCGAGGGTAAAATTGAAGGCAAGAGAGGAATGGGACACAAGAAAATGTCCTGGCTCCGAAACAGGGATTAACGACATACAATCTCTGATACATATTGTAAGAAATAGAGAATTAATGGAAAATGTGATCGCTAACATCCATTAGTGGATTTGCATCTGAAGAAAAAGAAGAATACATTGTATCGCTTATGTTTAGAACCCATTTCCTTTTTTAAATATTTCAAATTATATTTCATTTGCTCCTCTTCTGGTGCGGACGTCTATTATCTTCAATTGGTGTCTTGAGTCTTTTTTAGCATGATCTATCATATTTACTGTAAGTTCATTTGGTGATTTTTAGGTACCTTTGTATATATCGTGTTAAGCAAAGTTAAAATTATACAACCGATTCCAAAACAAAACTACTATAACAAAAAGAAGTCATTTTAAAAATCAGAAAATTTACAGGAACTGGTTCTTAATTTATGCTTATTATGTAATGCTAGTAGGTAATCCTAAAAGAGATTTGGAACAACAACTGCAACAATGGAGACTTCCTCTTGAGGGAAAAGGTTTAAAACTTAAAAAGGACAAAAAGAGGGTATTTAGAATGTTTATTAGAGATGGATTTGCTACCAATAAAGTAATAATTATAGATAAAAAGATAAATATTGTAAAAAGTATTATTTTTAAGTACTTAGAATCATTATGGCTCGCAGTTAACTTACGCTGGGCTGTATAAAGTAAAACGAAGTGAGTATGTGTTGTGTAACTAAAAGATGTTAATGAATATGAAATTGCCATAGGACCAGTTATGACCTCTCTCTCCTCAATCCTTTAGCCCTTGTCAGGGCGTAGTGACACCCTAAATATTATTAGTCTGCTGTCTCCATTGACTGCGATCTTGTGCCATATGGACGGCTTCATGTAGGGATTTTCCCACCAAACTCTTCATTTGGTCCACCCATCGTATTGGAGATCTTCCTCTTGGTCTTCGGCCTTCTACCTTACCTTCTACTACCAATAGTTCCATGGTGCCCGTTCTTCTAGCTATGTGGCCGAAGTAAGTTAGGTATGCTTGGTTTACTTTTTTTAGTAGCCTGTCTTTTATATGAAGCTCTTCCAGAATTGACAGGTTGGTTCTATGTTCTGTCCAGGACACGCGTAGAATTCTTCAATATACCCACATTTCGAAGGCTTCGATCTTACTCCTATCGATTTTTTTGGGAGTCCATGTTTCAGCTGCATATGTAGCAATGGGAAAAATAAGGGCATTGACCAGCCTAAGCTTAGTATTCCTTGTTATTGTTCGGTCTTTCCATATTTTAATTAATTTAGCAGTTGCGGTTCGGGCCATTCCTAGTCTACGTTTGATTTCTGAGGAACAATTACCATTGTTGGTTATGAGAGAGCCCAAGTATACAAGTCTGTCGACTACTTCGAAAATCCCTATTTGGCGTATATGCAGTAGATTATTATTTGCTCTGTCTACAATACTTATTTTTGTTTTTCGACTTCATTCGCTGCTAGTATAAGTGTGTCATCTGCGTATCGCAGGTTACTGAATTTTCTGCCTCCTATAGTGATTCCTCCATCCCATTCATCTAGTACTTTTCTCATTATATATTCAGAATAATATGTTGTACAATAATGGTGATAGTATGCAACCTTGTCTAGTTCCTTTCTCTGTTTTGAAAGCATTTGAATATATTCCATGTACTTTAACTTTGGCTGAGTTTTTATTATACAGATTTCTTATTAGGTTAACTAGGTGGTTAGGTACTCCCATATTTTCCATTATACTCCAGAGAGGATCCCATTTTACTGAATCAAAAGCCTTGGTGTAATCTACAAAACAGAGCAGCATTGGTATGTTATGTTCTCTCGCTTTTTCTACTATCTGTCTGGTGTTGAGTATTTGCTCACGCGTTCCCTTTCCTGGTACAAATCCACATTATTCTTCGGCTATCTCTGGAAGTAGAAAGTTCTTTAGCCGTTCATTGATTATATATAGCAGGATTTTGCTTGCATGAGGGATAAGGGCAACGGTTCTGTAATTGCTGCATATGGTTAGTGATCCTTTTTTATGTTATGACCAGTTATGACCAGTTAGAATTAAATGTTTAGCAGTTAAATAAGAAGGGGAATAAAGAATACATGTTGCGAAAATGAGAGTATTTAGATGTATAGGTGTAGCGACAAAAAATAAAATTAGGAAAGAGTATATTAGAGGAAGTCTAGGGATGGCACAAATTGATGCCAAAATGAGAGAGCAAAGGTTAAGGTGGTTCGGGCAAAAAAGTTTGATTAAAAGGCTGAAATTTAAATTACATTATTATATACAGAAAACTTAACAATGCCTTTGACAATTTAGTAACTATTTCAAACAAGATTCTAACTGTGGAAGAAATTTTAAATCAAAAGATAAACTACGATAGCATAACCCTAAAAGTTATGCAGTTGCTATATCTGGCATTACATACTAAGTAATTAAAAGTAACACAACTAGAGTTCTTGTTTTCGTTAAAAGGAGAATCTGCCAAAATCAAGTGCCGTTGAATGTTAAATTCATGACAGGGGAGGAAAGAAAGATGGAACACAGTTTAAAACAATTATGAAACGTAAATCTGTAAAAGAAACTAGTATCTCTAAAAACTTATTGGAAAAAAAATATAATAGGAAGACGTCCCAGTCGATTCACCGTATAAAATGTTGAACCTTTTAAGAATGATATAATAAAATACCCGATATCAGTTATATTTGTTAAAAATATAAAAAGTTAAATGAATACTCACCCACAAAGATACATTTAATAAAAGCAAAAATGTAATGAGTTGCCTTCCAGGTTTTCTTTTAATTTGATCTTCAGTAGAACAGCATCTTCGTCGAGCATCCAAGATAAAAGCAGTTTGGCAGCAACTTTGCAGTACTGCTAGCGTAGGAGTCAGTATACTAAAATTAATGTTCATAAAAAGTTTTATTACTACCAAGGTAATGGAGGTTTATAGTGAAACAATAAGAGTTTTTAAATGTTGTTTTCTCGGTAAATTGTAGATCGATAAAAGCTATATTTTAAAATTATTATGAAATACTCAGTTTGTAAAAAATAAAGCTTATATATAATAAGCTTATAATAATTTCCTATACCTAAATATGAAGTGTTTTAAATTACGTCAAATTTTCTTCAAATGTATAACATGTATAACATTTTGACACTTGTATATACCAAAATAGTACACAGTAAGTACCCACAAGCTATGTCAAATATAGTCAAAATATTACGTACTAAAACTGGGCTGATATTTGAATGGTGGGCCGCAACAATGTTGTAAGCGACAGATTGGATCAAACTGAGGTTTTAATGTAATATTGTTATATTACATATATATATATATATATATATAATATATATATATATATATATAATATATATATATATATATATATAAAATATATATATATATATGTAATATAACAATATTACATTAAAACCTCAGTTTGATCCAATCTGTCGCTTACAACATTGTTGCGGCCCACCATTCAAATATCAGCCCAGTTTTAGTACGTAATATTTTTGACTATATTTGACATAGCTTGTGGGTACTTACTGTGTACTATTTTGGTATATACAAGTGTCAAAATGTTATACATGTTATACATTTGAAGAAAATTTGACGTAATTTAAAACACTTCATATTTAGGTATAGGAAAATTATATATATAATATATATATATATATATATATATATATATATATATATATATATATATATGGTCCAAAGACCAATGCGAGCATCTTTTAATGTGGCTAAAAACATTTAACCTTCCCTGAGTTTTCCGTACCGCAATGTTGGTATCCGTGCAAAAACGTTGTATGTGCGTCACTGTCAAACTACTATTACTGTAAAAATGAAAGTTACCATGTTGCTGTCAACCCTTTTACACATAAATAGAGGAAAAAACGCAAAATCAATATTAACCAGTAGAAGAGAAACATCCGTAAGTGTCAGAGAAGTGCAGGTGAAGCGTATGTATCTGCTAGAAACGAGAATGTACCAGTAATACCCCGTATACATGATGTGAATGCAATAATGGTGTATATTTTGTTAGGAAATGCATTTTTTGTAGCTTTATCATTGTCGTTAGCTTTGTTATAATCTGTGCTCATCCTTAATGAGTGTATGATTTGAATTTCACTAACTTCAAATTAGTATTTTTATATCTTAGGAGCGACTATGTAAGTGCAAATCTGTTTGCGAGGCTGCTAAAATTTAAGGCATATTTGGACATCTCTTTAGAACCTTTCATAGGCTGGATCATAATGCAGAAACTGTGCAATTGGCCAGTTTTATGGAACATGAAAGATTCAACATCCTGAGACTCATAATTCAAGGAAAAATAGAGGGTAGGAGAAGCGTAACAAAGAAAACGCGTTTCCTGGTTGAAGAACCTGAGAAAGTGGTTTGGGTGCAGCTCAAGGCAATTGTTCAGAGCAGCTGCCTCAAATGTCAAAATATCCAGATTGGACCGAAGAAATAACCAGTGTTCCATCAAGCATTTGAAATAACACATCAAAGAATCCAACACATTCATCAAATAATAAAAACAGATATTCCGCTACGTAATCAACGTGAAAAACACAATAATAGGCTTAATTAACTCAACGAAACCGACAAAGAACTTATAAGAAAACATATAAAGTCGTTTCCACATCTACGAAGAACTGCCTTTCTGCTGAATTAAACTTTAAAAAAATGTACAAACTGTTTTGTGAACAGTATCCGAAATGCAATGCAAATTCAATCAGACTTTATTCTTCGCTTTGTCTCCCTCGCTTAAATACGTGTACGTTTTGTGATGAAATGTATATCAAGCTTGTGGTGTTTTCAGATGGTCCAGAGAAAAATGCTATTCTTGTTGATAGTGAACTTTATCATGCACGTGCTGAGGCTGGACATAAAGCATTGAAGTTGGATGCTAAGAAGGCTAATGCACAACTCATCGTACTCTTCACTGTTCTTCAGCATGTTTTTACTGTCCAACATTGACTCATTCTTTAGTGTTCGACCAACGCCAGTATGCCATTTGCAACTATGATATTTACGATACAGATTAAAACGAAGCCACTATGATGTTGTGGCATGAATCCGTTGGTAATCGTGGTTCTAGAGATATTGTTTCAGCTTTCCTGTATTATATAAAACTTAACTTTCGTCCATTGAACTCAGGAAAATAAAAAAAAAATCGGTCTGGTCTAATAGCTGCTTCGGCCAGAATAATATCTGGCCTTTCTCAACCATAGAAAGGTTGAGAAAGTTAAACGAACAATTATAGCTACTAAGATAAAAACAGAAAAATTAGTCAAGAAGATGACTTATGTGAAAGCATACCAAACACGAGAAAGCTAACCCTGTGCAGTATGTTAGGAGTTTAAATCAAATGAATTATGGTGGAGATGTCGTCTCTGTGGTCTCGGGGCTCATGCAGACTGCACGGAAGCGGATATTGCTACTCTTTATATTTGCTTAAACTGTAAATGTAACTAAAGAAATATGTAGTTTATACCTATACCTAAGTAAACTTAACCATTGAACTTGTCCATCTGTGATCGATATTTCTTATCCTTGATCAATATTACCCATTCCTTTGTCAAAAGTATCCGATTGATCGATATTACTGGAGTTTTTTGAGATTCAAATATATATATATATATATATATATATATATATATATATATATATATATATATATATATATATATATTGTTGTACTTTTGAATGTCCATAAGCAATAAAAAACCGATATACAAATTTTATTACTTAAATAAAAATTAAAATTATTGATATTTCATAAAGACACGGCATATAAATTTTCAAACATCCTGTATTAGACAAAATATGTATTTTAAGTTGTTCGAAGAATTGTTCATTAGGCCTCAGAGACAACACTTTTCAAATATTATCGATAAGAAATTTAAATAAGTCGGTTATTGTGGAATGGATTTACCCGGAATAAAAGTGTATACAGAAAGTGTTTAAACAATAGACCGGGATTTGCGGTGGTTTTTCTCCCCGAAAGATTATATCGGTAAAAGTTTATTAACAAAAGACATTGAATTGAGAAACAGGTATCGTTTGTAGCTATTAGTAAGAAATATTTGTAAAGCAGATAGATTTAGTTAGAATAATTAAAGAATGTTGTTTTCTGGAATTACCCGAATGACGTTTTATAGAGAGAGTTGGTTGGTAACGATATACGTCACAGAGGTGGATGATTTTTATTGGTCAATTTTTGAATGCAAGGAGGTGGTGGTTTTGGCTATGAGATAGGAAAGAGGAAAAAAGTAGTTAGTCAGTTTTCGTCGTCTAAGAAGGAAGGAGCTTTGTGATTTGCGTTTGTTTTGAAGTCCCGAAGACGTTATTTACCGGGTGTGTTTATTTGCTGTGTAAAAGCTGACCAGTGTGAGTAACGGGGTACAGAGAGATAGAAAAACTAAAGGGTATGAGAATATTAATATCAGACGAAGCCGGAAACATTTGGAGTTATAGACAGGCGCGGAGATTGGCTCAAAAGGAGGCTGCATAGAATAACACGAATTGTTGGGTTGCAGATACAAGGACAGATAGGAGAAAGGTGTACGTCATCTGGACCACAATAGGAGCAGAAGCAGAGAAAGGTTTTTTTTTTGCGTGGCCATAGAATTGCAACGGCAGAGAAAGAAAGGTCAGTCAATTTTCATTAGAGCAGGAATGTGGTTTTCATTTATTAATTAAATAAATTGTATAAATAATAGAGACAGTTAATTTTGCGATCATTTAAAAAAAATTATAAAAAGAGCTTAGTTATAACACATATTAAAAATCAATGTAAAATAACATTTGGGTCCATGATAGAAAACAACTTCTCATATATTTAAAGTTAGTATATTGCAAATATTACAGGATTGATTGTTATATAAAATTTCATTAAAATAAAGGACATCTCACATATAGTTCAGTTGAAATTCTATGTATTTTATTCAGGTCATATTACCTATCCCAATTAGGAAGCCAATTGGAAAATATTTTGAATCCACGATCAAAGGTAAATAGTACAAATTAAATAGCCCGAGATTGTAATTAATTAATGCTGATTTATTGTGATTAATTGGAGATTAGATCATTTAATAAATATAGACAGGATTTTTTTTAAATAAGCAATATAATACAATTTAAATAGCTTAACAATATATATATATATATATATATATATATATATATATATATATATATATATATTTAAAATATATGTAATCTTTTTTTATTTTGAAGGAGTAGTTGGTTAACTAAATGAACCAAATGTCCATATGATAAGTTTCAAATTCGTAAAAGCTATACCAAACAGTGTAATAACAGTTGTGTCTTAAGTAGTCGATATTTTCCCACCTTCCCCTACTCGAAACGTCCAATAGATTATATAACGTTATAATTAATGATGATCTGAAAGAAGGCTCTGAGAACAACCTTAGTATCAATCCATTGGACCTGTACATTCTGGTACAGGATTTTAAAATTTTAAAATCAGTACCTTAATGGATGCTACTAAATGATGACATTAACCGAATCTATTGTAGTTAACAGCTGTCTGTTATAAGTATCTACTATCGGCTTATAGCAGACCGCGTCCAAAAAAAAACTGTTAATTATTTTGTGTTCTGTAACTTTTCAATTTTCAATGCATTTAATTTTGTTTCTTGTCGGTAAAATACATTTTGCGTAAAGCAAAATTTTACGCAAAATCTAAAAAAAACAATAATTTATAGGATGCTTTATTTATAAAATTAATATTGAGAGTGATTTCATATATAACTGAAAGTAAGCGCAATCCCTAAATATTTCCAACGTGTATATTCTCTACTCTTACGAGCAAATACAAATTTTAGTCTCCAAATCCGATTATGTACGTTAATCAAAGAGAAATAAAAAATATTTTCTTAATTAAAAATAACAGCATCGCATACCTTAACACCCTGCTGAGCCCTCTAGTCCTCATAAGACATCCGCTGATGATTTGAAATAGACAATATATAAACATTCCGGACTGCGTTACGAGCAACAGTAAATGCTCCAGAGGAAGTTCAATATTGGTGTTGCTGATCTTTAAGTCTCTTAACGTAATGGCACTCATTAATACTGCCACCGTAGATGTAGAGAAGAGAATGGATTCCCACATCATCGTCTAAAATAAACGTATCATAGATATTAGATTTTATTACTTGGTTTTATATATAATATATAATATATATATATATATATATATATATATATATATATATATATATATAATATATATATATATATATATATATATATAACAATTTATTGTGTTGGAATATCGGGTATGCAGTCTGTATTAAAAAAAAAACTCTTTTTCCTTTTATTTCTCTATATTTCGCTGAATTTTTGTCAGCTTCATCAGGAGACAACTAAAATATGGTTTTAAAAGTTATATAAAAATCAGATGAGAATAAAAATGAATCACTTACAGATTTAGAGTTTAAAAAATAATTAAAAAAGTTTTTGTACATATGTTCAAAATAGTACTAACAGTATTGGTTAAAAGCAACTAGATCACTAGTAATTACATATAAAGACAGAGCAAACAAAAACAACCAAGAAACAATTAAAACACAATAAAATTACACATTAAAAATATACAGGGTGATTTAAAATATAATTTGTAAACAGAAAAATTATTTGGACATACTAAGAATATTACAGTAGATATTGCTCAACTGTCCTGTGTCTGCCTTGTAATTTACTGCATAGTCTTCCCTATTTATATGACACATTTCCAAAAACAATATTTTTTTGTAATTATTTTCTTGCTGTAGAACCCTGACATTTAAATAATCAAATTGATGGCCAGTTTTTAAGTGATGATCAACTGCCGCACATGTATTCTTCTGTTTAGTGCAGTCACTTTTGTGTTGTGTGACTCTTTGTTTTAGCCATTGAGAAGTTTTGCCAACATAACAGCTCTGGCAATCCAAACAAGGTAGTTTGTAGATAACATTAGTTTTATTTACAGTTGGTGTCTTATCTTTTACTTTAGAAAACAGTTTCGGTTTTCTAATAAATTATATTGGACAATTTTAATGTTAGTAAATTGTTTAAATAAACTAGTCACAGAAGGTGTTAACTGTTTTATTAATGGTAGTTTTTTATATTGTATTGTCTGTACTGCTCCGATATCAGTGGGACCGTCAAAAATGTCAGAGTTAAATATCAATTTTTTTAAGGATATGTTTTGGGTATCCATTATTTTGAAAGATATTTAACATCAAATTTAAGTTTTTGTTTATAAATTTATCATCACTAATATGCATTACCCTATTCTTCATTGCAATGACTGTATTAAACTTTTGATGAGTGGGACGATTTGAAAAAAAGTTTAAATATCTTCCAGAGTGTGTTGGCTTTTAATACCAATCTATCAATATTTTGTTTTGTTCTGTTCTTATTATTTTGGTGTTCAGAAATGATATCGAACAATCATTTTCAATTTCTAAAGTAAATTGGATATGTTTGTTAAAGTTAGTGAAAATGTTTACGGTATTTTGAATTTGTGAAGTATGAACAGAACATATAAGATCGTCTACAAATTTTTTAATGAAGGGTAAAGGGAAAGGTAATTGTGGAATAATGACATCCAGCAAATGGTCCAAAATGATGGTTGCTATTATGGGGCTGAGTGGACTACCCATAGGTGCTCCAAATATATAGTTCAGAAGTGTTAAAAAACTGTCCTCGGAAATTGTTGTATAATTTTGGGTGAGATTCCATTTTGACTGTATTATATTACTGACCAGATCTATTGGTATGTTAGTAAATAAATTAAAACATAATACCTATATATATATATATATATAAATATATATAATATATATATATATATATATATATATATATATATTTACGGCATAAAGTGGAGTCCGCCCATGTTAAAATTCAGGTTTAAGTGAGCTCCGTGGTCAAGTGGACACCGATATACGGAGCTCACTTGACCATTCCCTAATATTGGTTCTGTCGATTCGTTAACATACAGAGGTTCATAATTTTTAAAAAAATTTTGGAGCCCATAAATACCCCTGTATCATAAATGTATATCGTGTAGTTCACGTGTAATATTATAGGGGTCGTTCAGGTCTTTTTCACTGTATATTTGAACAATTAGTTTATCGGTTTAAGTAAGCTCTGAGAGTTTGGCAACCGTGCGATGATAGCGTATATTTTCAAAGTTTATCCTGAACGGTTTATATGAGCTCCTTATTTTTATCTACTTTTTGTAGGCCGTGTAATGCCATACGCATTACACTGTGTAATCAAGGATATCTTATTACCGGGTATTACTACGTGCTAATAGGTACAAGGTACAGGTTATTTAAAAAACAGGTATATAGATACAAAAGGACTTGGGCTTATTATTTAATGGAATGGTCACTTGCATAGAAAATTTTATTTTCTCTGCATTTTTAAAAATGTTATTTTTTTACTTAATATAGTTTTATTAGTTCAATGTTGAAGTCTACGTTTTTTTAATTGTAGAAGTTTCGTACTATTTATATTTTTTTTACGTGACTTTGTTTTAGTACGTTTTATAGAAGCATCCCAATAATAAAAACTGTTTTTATTTCATTCAATGTTCTGCGATATCTTGTATAAAGTTTTATTTTTATTTTAGTTTTGGTCTTATTTGTACTACATAATATGATATATTGATAGAAGGTTATCTCAAAATAAATATGGTTAAGTGATATAGATATATATAATAGATATTTTTGTGTTAAAATGTGTAGTAGTGTGCACAAAAAGAAATAATGGTTAATTTGTAGGGCGAAAGGACGTTCGCCTCATTTTTAGCTGACAAATATTATTTCTGACCTCAATTTACCTTTTAGTTTTAAACAATGATCTGTGAATAATCACGTGCAATACAAGCTATTTTCAAGGAATTTATAGATAGTCTACAGTTCAACGATTTCCTGACATTATTGGAGGTTTAGTTTTGTGAAAGCGTTTGTGTTAGGGAAATTTAAGGAGCACATATGAGTTTTTCAGGCGTTTTGGCTGAAAATTGATTCATAGTTTATTTTTATTGTGCAATAATAGGTGTATCGTCTGTATATTAGAAGTCCTAGTATCTATAGGTATGGGTTAATCGTTTGTTTATACAATGTAAGTGTCTTTATGCTATCCCAAGCGAGACCGTTCTTCATCTGCTATTCTTACCATCGAGTGATACGAAAAATATTCTATTGTGTAGGCATACACAGATAATTTTATCGTTTGTTATCTACGGGGATATCATATAATTTTTGGAGAAATATCCTGTAATTTAAGGTGTCGTAAGCGGAATTTATATTGAAAAATACCACCCCTGATACCCGATATTTTCGTACCCGTCTTTGCTGTCTTGAGTAAGATTTAGTATTTGTAAAGTACGCGATCTTCCCTATCTATAGCCACTCTCGTCTTATAATTTGAGATTTTTTTCTAATATCGGTGAAATCATATCATCGTCTCTTGTGCAAAAGTATTTTAAATAGCTGACAAAACAAAGATATTGGCCAATAGTTTTTGTGGTCGTTGGAGTTTTTGCCAGGTTTAAGCAAGGTAACAACTTTGGCTCGTCTCTAGACTTTGCGTATCTGCATAATTTGAATACAGTTGCTCATCATCCGGATAAGCCATTGTAGTGTTTTGGTCCAGATTTCGTAATTAACTGTGTGTTCAGATCCTCAAGGCCGGTAGTTGTATTATTTTTCATTTAATATGTAGATGGTGGATTCAATCAAGCTGACTGTTTTTGTCCTTTCTTATTTTAAGTTTTTCTTTGCTTCTTTTACGTCAGAGATAGCAGATCTATATCTATAATAAGGTTTTCAGAGATCAGCTTAACACCAAATATCCTAGGTTAGGCCCTATATGTGTTTCCTGCACTAGAAATACGCCTGATTCATGTTTAGCGCATATGTCTGATAAGTTTAAGTAAAGTTTCTTTATCTCTAGATATACCCTTAACATATATAGGCATATGTTATTAGAATAGTTGGTAGTAAAAAGAACAAATTTGACAAAATAAATAAGTTTGTGATATCGGTTGCAACTCATGCATGTACAGATAGATAATAAGTAAGTATAGATAATAAGAAAATACACAGCTAAAATAAGTGTAAAAAATTCCAACTACATACACCGGTGCCATTGTTTAAGTGATGGGTTTATCACAGATATCAAAGGTTACATTTTAATTCAAGGTTCTATTTACATATTTTCAACATGAAAAGACATGTTTATGCTTTTATTTTTTTAAATCTATTATTTTCTCTTTCTTGCAGCTATTTTAATGTTCTTTATTAATTGTCTTGTTTCTGCAGTAGGAATATATGTGTACCATGATAGGTTGTTATTTTATTTCATGTAATTACTCTTTGCTTTTGCCAATTGCTTTCTTACTTCCTCAGCGATTGGTATTTTTTTTTCTCATCAATAACCTCATCCTCTCTCGATATAGCTATTCTAAGATATTTAGATTTCACTATATGCTCATATCATTTGGTTTTTATCTCAAATTTGGACCTATGATGAAATTTTTATATCTTAAATCTAATGCTTTCATATTAAACTGGAATAAAATACTTAAATACTAGCCAAATTGACATTAATTTTATAGATTCCATTTTATTAGTACTGATGGTACATGATTAGCATCTGTTGGTACTATATATCAATTTCAACACGTGGAAGTGAGAGCAATCTCCTGTTAGTAATTCCAGTGTCAATTATGAGAAAACCCTTGATTGGATATTATAGGGTATCCAATATTTCAATCAGCGGTATTTCAGAGTGATTTTTTTTTAATTTTTATATATATTTGCAAAATGGAGAAGGAAGTTCAGTACAGAGCCGGTTAAACAGGTAATCTGTCAATTTAGAAGTAAGAACAAGTACCAACTTGCTAAAAAGCACACCCATACACAAAAGGGATGATAAAATGTACTGCACAAACTGTAGTGGTATGAGTTACATATAAGCTATATATTAATAATCAGGATATACAGTATTTTTTCTAATACACCTGGAACGATTGAGCAAATAGGTGAACTATCAAACAGGAGACTATTAGTGTAGAATTAGAAAACTTAAAAAATCGTTGATCAAATATTCTCTATTAGG